AAATTAATTCACAGCAACCCTGTGATTAATCTGATTAAAAATTTTAATCGTTTGACAGCACTAGTTTTTTTACATAAAAAATTATTTACATTATATTTGATAGTATAACCAACGTGTTGTTAGATTATCAATGTGTTTCCAGGTTGACAGTGATGTTTCCTTTACCAGCATTATTTTATTACTTCAACAAATCCACACATTTTAGCTCAAATGGCATATTATTGCGCATTAGATATTGCTGGGGTGCTCATGCTCCTATCTTCTGCCCAGTGATACGATTGGTGTGTGGAGTTTGGTAGAAGGAAAAAATTCCTAGATTAAACTGCTTATTACAAAGTCTGTGGATTATGTTCAATAACCAGGTCATGATTTCTGGTAAGAGACATTGCTGTTGAATTTTTCAAATGTATTTTTCTGGCACCACCACAGAAAGAATGCCATTTACTCCCATTATATTCCAGAGAATACCGACATTCTACGCCCGATATCTCCCAAACTAGGCAACTCCCAGCAGAACAGCCTATATGCATAGATAGCACTAAAGACCCTCTAAGACTTACTCTGTCTTTTTCAGTTTTGGAGTGAACTGCCCCTTTAATGACTTTTTGCAAAATAAATGCTATTGATATTCTCCCATGTCTCCCAGTTGAAAATGATACATTCCATGTACGTAATATATTAACAAAATATTATTCACATGCTACTTCTCCCAAAATTTGGGAAAAAAAATTAATACCGTGATTTAATACGGTCACCATCTGAAAAGTGAAAAATACAATAATAATAATTTTAGGTCATATTGCCCACCCCTAAATGTGACACATACAATGTTTGTTCTGCTGTCCATGACAGTGCACAGTGAACAGGCTGAAATCGCCAGGCTGCTGTACACCGACACTTGTCACGAGGTATGTGTTCTGCCCAAAGAGGGCGCTGTGTGTTGGGTGTGATTAGTTCTTCGTGAACTGACCTCCTCCTTTGTCCTACTAGCTGAATGAGCTGCATCTCTGCCGGACCTGCTTCTACCTGTCCAATGACAGGCCACACAACTGGTTCTGCTACCCTTGTGTAGGTTGGCTCCGCCCCCTGTTAGTCCCACATCCTCTCAGCCTCACTTCCCAGCAGCCCCGCCCCCCTCTCAGCCCTCATCCTCATGCGATGCTCCCTGTGGGTCTGCTGCATCCTAACTGTTTTTTTTTTCTCTGTTCAGAATCCCAGTCACGAGCTGGTCTGGGCCCGCATGAAGGGTTTCGGGTTCTGGCCCGCCAAGATCCTGCAGCGTGAGGACAATCAGGTGGATGTGCGTTTCTTTGGACACCAGCACCAGAGGTGAGATGCAGACCAATGGAGGGTGAGTGGGCGGTGCTAGGGGGCGGGGGTTTATCTGTGGGGGGCGGGGCATCGGTTATCGCTTGCCTGGGTTCTCATGAAGGAAAATTGTTACACCTGTTACAAGCTGTGATAGGCTGCTGGAGAAACACCCAAAGGGCAGGTGCTTTATACCTAGAGGCCGGCAAAAGCCCATCTGCCCATCAGATCATATTCTGCACCCAGAATCAAAATTTGAATGACATTGTGCATCTCTGGTCTTTTCTCTGCTCCTTGAATCCAGATGTACCCTGTCATGCGTGTCTGTCAGCTGGGGGGGTCATGTTTAGGGGGAACTGGGGGCTTTTTCCTGGTTTGGGTCATGAGGGGACCTTGTGCCGATGTCTTACAAGCCTGAAAAGTAAAGTACAGCGCAGATATGCATGAAGAAAGCACCTGGTCACGTGATCTGGGGCAGTCTGAGCAGGGCACATCACCCAGTCACCCTGGGCCGTGTGAACCCATGTCAGTGATGGTGACGATGACCCCCACAGGGCGTGGATCTCCGCAGACAACATCCAGGAGATCTCAGTGAGCGTACAGCAGCTGCAGGTGAAGCGCAGCGCAGGCTGGAGGAAGGCCTGCGAGGAGCTGGAGCTGTACCAGCGCTTCCTGCAGGAGGGCCGTGTGTGGAGGGAGCGCGAGAGGGACAGGGAGAGGGAAAGGGAGAGGGAGGAAGACAAGGAGGAGCATGCCGAGGAGGAGCCCGAGGCTGGCATCTCATCCACCAGCAGCGAGCAGGTCTGCGTCCCCAGATGGGATGTTAAAACAGGAACAAGGTCAACCATGAAGCGGCTTGACTCTGTGCTTAACATCCGGTATGATGTCACCATGTGTCTGGGAGCCCAGGGTTTCCCTGCCGCCGGCAAAGGGTCCCATCACACCACCAGCATGTTTCTCATTAAAGAAACAATGATGGGGAAACATCCAGATTTCGATGTGAGCCAGAGCAGAGAGATGCTGTCTAGCCTGCCTGCTGTAGGTGATGCTGCCGGCGCCCCCTGCTGGGCAGCTAAATGATGCCCAGAGGCTGTGATAGGTTGCTGTGTTAATTACGAGGGGTCACTTTCACAACATTAATTAGGCTGGCCTCCTCCAGTCAATCCGCATCATGTTGCAGCTGAATATAACATCTAATTAGGGAGTTGCAGTAAAAACCCACATATACAGCGGGCCATTGCAGATAACATTGCCCACCCGTTTTAGAGTATTGCAGTCTTGTCTACAGCAGGCTGCCAGCCTCTTCTGTTTCCCTCTCTGTGATGAAGGTGCATGTCGCTCAAAGTACAGAAGGAATATGTTGCCATGGCGATCGCAGTGACGGATCTGTGAATCACACAGGGTGCCTCACGGTTCTGTGTGACTCAGCCTGACTACCCCGTTCTGATCCGCAGCTCAAGGTGAACCAGGAACCCAAAGCAAAGAAACAGCGTTGCAGCCAAAACTCAGACTTGAAAGAGGAGGTGAGTGAGTGACTGTATGCCCGAGCCCCACTGCTGTTAGACTCATTACATTATAGCTTTCTGGTGTAGAATCTGGTGCTCTAAGAAATACTCCCCCTGCTGTTAGACTCATTAGACTACAGCCATCAGGTGCTCTAAAGCCATACCCCTGCCACACCCCAACCCTGTCTATCCAGCAGCTGGAGCCAGAGATGGAGGCCGTCAGCTCCAGCCAGGAGATCCCCACGTCGCCCCACCAACTGGAGAAGTTCTCGGTGTCCACGCAGACCCGGAAGGCCAGTGCGGTGTCGCCAAGGACACTGCATCGCGGCACCCAAACCGGCGCCGATAGCGACAGCAGTGGCTGCCAGAACCGCTGCCACGAGAAGTACACCAAGATCTTCAACGAAGTCAAGGAGATGATGAAGGCGGAGAACAAGCGTGAGACAGAGCGGGTAGTGCGGGAGGCACTGGAGAAGGTGAGGGCATGTGAGAGCATCTGTGCTGACCACACTCGGCGAATGACCGCGGCGTGGCTGCAGGGTGACCGTAGCGTGACCATACGCGGCTCATGTCACTGCAGCTGCGTGCCGAGATGGAGGAGGAGAAGCGGCAGGCGGTGGCCAAGGCGGCATCTGGTGCCCAGGCTGAGATGGAGCGCCGCTGCAAGCAGGTGAAGGAGAAGTGCAAGGAGGAGCTGGTGGAGGAGGTGAAGAAGATGGTGGCCCAGCACAAGCAGCTCATCTCGCAGACCAAGAAGAAGCAGTGGGTGAGTGGGATGCCCTCTGGCTTCACTCGCATACCGCCACGCACACCTGGCTCAGTGCCAACAGCGTGCCGGGTTCTGCTCCTACTCCCATCGGGCTGCCTTCCTGGGATCTGAATCTGCAATCTTCTGGCATTGGTGCCAAGATCAGTAAAATCTCACGATGCTTACATTGCGTCCATGGTAACATAAGAACATAAGAAATTTACAAACGAGAGGAGGCCATTTGGCCCATCAAGCT